AGTTTAAGCTTCCGCAACTCCTTAAACGTTCCCTTCTTCATACAATCTACAGGCTTAACAAACCTCAAGCTTGATATTACCTAACATTTGTTGTTCCTCTGATTCTCTGTCGTTCTTCTCAACTTTGGTGATGTTGTCCACTGTGGCTCAGAAATATTAGTTCAATGGAAGGATTCTAGTGCTATAAAGCTGAAGCCAGATTTAAATGACGAGCTTCACTTTGGAGAATATGAGCAACATCGTTTTAGGGGTGTTTTGGGGGTCGCAGAGAATAAAATTTACACTTTATAGCAATTATCTTTCAAGTATTTGAGGCATTATATCAAATGCAAAGATTATCAATACCATTAATGCAAGAAACTGAGATTCTAACTAATTTATTCATGAATTCTTCCCAATTGCCCATAGTTTGTAAAGTCTTTGTTTAGCTCTTTGAAAATGGATTGAATTGAAGGGTAGAACATATTTTCCTGATTGGGAGCTTTTCTTAAGAGGGGAGGGAGAGAAGAGTAGTTGTAAAAAGGCTGTATATTTTAAGCACATTTACTGTGGCGGTTTAAATAGAAGTCCCTATCACTACCTTCAAAGTATCTAAGCACAGGCAATAAACACCAGAAAATGCCAGCATCATACATCACTTACAACACACAGTCACTACACGTTATACTACATCCTTTGAGATGTCCTCCCAATGTGAAAGATGCTATATCAGATCTAAGCAAAAGGAAGATGCCCGATTCATTGTTAGAAATGATCCTCCAATTTTTAAATAATTTGCGTTATTTATTATAATGTTTAAAAAAAATTACAAGACTATGAATTACAAGAATTTTTAAAAGCAAGCCCTAAATAATGCTCTGTTAACTCTCCAGGTTATAGACCCATGAAGACGAGCACACACACGCTCCCCAGGCATTTCCCTACCTCTCCGACCTCCTCACTCCCCAATCCACCCTCCAGCGCCTCCACTTGACTGGCACCAGACTCCTTCCTGCTTGTCCCTCGTGTCCTCTGCTCCAACATTGGAGGTCGTGCATTCAGCCACTATGGCCCGAAACTCTGGAACACTCTCCCTCAATCCCTCCGCCTTGCCTTCTCTCCCCTTTCTCAAGTCCCACCTGAAGACCTTCCTTTTCAACCGTGCTTACTGTCACCTTCCTTTCGCCCCTCCCCGCACCCCCCCCCCCCCCGGCCCAGCTGTTACGCACTCAGAGACGTTACCCTGCGTGGAAAGCGCTATATAAGAGCAAATTGTTGTTGTGTGTGGATAAATTGGCAGCTGCAATCACACAGTCACTACACTTTCCAGTAAAATCCTGTGAATTGCTTTGAGATATGCTGACAAGATGATAGACCGACCCTATATTAAGCTCAAGAATTGTTGTTATTATCCCAAGACACTTTTTTTAAAAAAAGACAAACTAGGAAGGAATAAGGAGTACTTTGGAAAATGAGGTGTAATTTATAATGAACGAATGATTAACTTTGTACCTGCCCCACCCAAGGCTGTGCCTAAACATGAAGTTTCAACCAGAGATATCTCTCCACAGCACCTCTTGGAAGCTCAGCTTTGGTACGAATCCAGTGAAGCATTTTTGAGCGATTGAGCCAACCGTGTTTATTGCCAGATCCGCAAACAAGCTCTCAACATTCCCATGTTTAGATGGGCTTGAAAATGCACAGGGCATTTGGGAACCAGGATCTGTGCGCAGTTCAACTAACTCTGCGAAGCTAGAGGTCGTGATAAGGAAAAGGAATCTGAATTTGTTTGGAGCTGAAATGTAGTGGTGTGGATTTATTTTCACAAACATTTTGAGATTTGTTTTAAAATGAAAGAAAATAAATGCTGTGATTGTTCTTATTTGCTTTCAATCAAAGCATTTCTTTTATGAAAATAAATGACTACGCAGTTACACGTCTACAAGGAAGGGTACTGGTGGTAACCCCCCTTTTGGTAGAAATGTAAAGCGGTTTGAGACGTCATCTGGATGCGAAAAGCGCAATATGTATGTAAGTTGTATCGTGGGTAGTGCTGGGTATTGGACCAACCAAAAGGGCGGAAGTGCAAAGAAATTATGTGCCTTATAGGCAAGTGCCTTAAAAAAGCGTAACACAATGTACATTTGTGTAGCGCCTTTCACGTTGTGAGGATGTTCTCAAAACGCATACTGAGCAATAAGGCAATAACCGAATGTGAGAGGAGTTTCAGGGTCCAAACCACAGACTCAAGTTATAACTAGCACTTCCCACACGAATGAATGTGACGAGGCTGAAGGTTGGTAGTAGAAATGGAACAGAACGTTTTGTGTCGAAAAATTATGGTTTAAAATCTGGGGTTGAGGGAAAGATTATGTCATGTCTAGCAGGCTTTACAACAGGCTGGCCCTCGGCCCGCTCTATGATTTTTGACATATTCAGAATCGCATCCTTTAATCGTTTAATCCACCTTTTGGTGGAAATGTAAAGCAATGGACAGATCGAACACAATCTCCACTACCTTTGAGCTGATATGGAGGTGGCGCGGAATCCAGAATTAAAGTCCATATTCTGGTAGTGCTTAATATTGAACCTAGCTCTTGGAAGAGCAATTTTAGATAGTTCTGACCAACAGCCAGCAGAGGGTGAGCTTCACTCGCTTTCTCACAATCAGGAATTCCAACACAGTCCACTGCATTCCCAACAAATGGGAATAGCTGAAATATTTGTTCAGTGAGTAGAAAATGAAAGGCACAAAGTATTTTCGATCCCCACCCTTTGCAGTTTTTTTTAAACTATAAAATAGAGAACTTATTTGTCACAACTTGTCACATTCCGAGCTCCTTGCAGTCCTGTGAAGTGAGACTGTTCGGCAGAACCTAGAAAATGGACATTTGCAAAAATATTCATTTACGCAGTGAACGCCCTTGCTCACATTTTCCAAGAATTGATTTTTTTCCCCCGAAGCTGTGTTTTATTTTATTAATCCATCATCTTGCATTTATAGAGTGCCCCTCACGTTTAATATATAGAGTCTGGAGTGCTGCACAGTGGCAATGTTGGAGCCCAAGCAAGGGAAAAGGAGGAGGGGAACATGATCCTAGGCGCAGTCAAAGAGATGGGTTTTCAGGTGGGATTTAAAGATAGAGGGGGTGAGGAGGAGAGATTGAAGCAGTGAGTTCCAAAGCATTATGACCTTATTTTTCTTTGCTTCAGTGGAAACTGGTCATTCCTTTTAACAGGAACTGCCTGCCCTGGGATTTGCATTGACCACATTGTTTCCCTTATTTTCTTAGCCGTTAGCCCTTGAACATGGGAAAAGAAATTCATCATCAACACACTTGAGAGAACGTCTAAAAATAGTGAACTGCTCAGTTCCCATACCCTGTTTTTAATAGGTTTTAATGTTTTTTTCTAACTCCTTGTAAAGCAATACATCATTAATTCATTTGACTTTTCGTATGCTTAGTTGATAAAGGATGCTGAATTTTTAATAATTTTTTTCCACTGGAAGGAAATCAAAAGTTGTTGAGTGTTGGTTTAAAACTGTTGATCACCAGTTTCTTGGAATAAAAAAGCTAAAGCTTGACGCTGGTATAAGGTTTTCCCTCTGTTGAAAGCAGATACTCATCAGAGAAAACCAAGACTATTTAAAATTGCTTCAAAGAATTTCCCTTTTTGTGGTTAGAGCAGTCCCTCTTATATCAGTTTAATACTCTATTATTTGGGCTATTTCGCTTGCACACTTTCTGACTGTATGCTACCAGCACTTTGTGAATGCTCTCAAAGACTACAGTATGAAGGATTCTCCTGTGTTGCGGTAATAATAAAATAAATAATAATGATTGCATTTGATAGAGCGCCTTATCACATCATCGAGACGTTTCAAAGCGATTCACAGTAAAGTGGTTTGACGGTGTACTTTGGGGTGCGAAATGTGGCAGCCAGTTTCGCACAGCAATGTCCCACAAACAAGCATTGCAGTGAGTGGGCCAATTTTATTTGGTGTATTGTCGGCAAAAACACCAGGAGAAACCCCCTTCTCTTTTTGAATCCTGCCATGGGATCTTTAATGTCCACCAGTACAGGCAGACTGGACCTCGATTTAATGTCTCATACAAAGATACCTTGTATCTTAGTTTTTTTTTAACCCAAGCACATGACAATTTTACAATCTAAGGTGATTGTGCAATTTACATTTGACTGCCTCTCATGGTTTCTTGGGTCACTAGTTCTCTATTTTACTTGTTGAGCACGTGGCGTCACTCAAGCTGGTGAGGATTAGAACCATAGAGCTGTAAATATTTACAGTGCAGTAAGAGGCCATCCAGCCTATCGTGTCTGTGCCACTTCTCTCAAGAGCAGTCCTTTCAGTCCCACTTGCCTGCCCTTTCCCCATAACACTGTAGCTGACTCTTTTAAAGGTATTTGTCTAGTTCCCAATATGGATTTTGCCTCACCACCAGTCCTAGCAGGGCATTCCATATTCTAACTGTTGTGATCATAAAAACATTTCTCCTAACCTCCTCATTTTGCTCATTTACTAACTATCTTAATTTGATGCCCTCGAGTTACTGATTCACTGACCAGTGAAAATAATTTTAAAGTCCTTTATCAGGTCATCCCTCAACCTGCTTTGTTCCAGTGAAAAAAATCCCAGTTCTTCCACTCTCCGCTCATAGGCAAACCAATAAATCTCCAGAGCTGGTGAGGATTATCATGTGGCATCGTGAGAGCTGGTGAAGATTAGGTCAGTTGGGCACAGTGTGTGATGCACTGTGACCGAACAGCCGGTTTTACTATCTGTGAGCGCTCAAGAATTTGAACAGCGAAGACGGCTACGTATTAAAAACAAAATGGGGATTGTAACACAGTTTGTACAGTGTTTGGTAACTTGCTTCGTGATTGAGTGACTTGGTTTATAACCACGTCTGTAAGGTTCTCAGACTTCAACAATTTGTTCCAGAGCATCCCGTTTGTCAATGATTAAAAGGCCACATTTGTGTGTGTGTGTGTTTTTTCAGGCGTGCTTCCGGTGCAAGCTGAACATGAAGGAGGGTGACCCGGCTGTGTATGCAGAGCGTGCTGGCTACGACAAGCTCTGGCATCCCTCGTGTTTCATCTGCTGCGTCTGCAGCGAGCTGCTTGTGGACATGATCTACTTTTGGAAGAAAGGCAAGCTGTACTGTGGCCGTCACTACTGCGACAGCGAGAAGCCGCGTTGTGCCGGCTGCGACGAGGTAGGCAAAAGCTTTATGTTAAACCTTGACTGTAGCTCACTGGATTAATTGATGCTGCGGGGTTTACTCTTGAGAACAGTGGTCAACTTCATTTGAGCTGGGGAGATGGGGCGGGTTAGATGGGTCTTTGGCGCACGCAAAACCACATCATTAAGCTCAAGAGTATCCAAACCAAACTGAGTTCCGTGTTTACCACCTTCACATGGAAATTTCCCTTCGTTTGGAATAGAGTATTAGTCTTTCCCCAAAGAGATGCACTCTGTTTACCTAATTCTGGCAGGTATTAATCTTGACAGTGTATCTTGACAGTGACTACGTGTAGGAGATTCAATGGCAAGTTATGCAGTTTTAGCTGATTAACTCCAGCAGCTACCCCAACACACACTCTGGGTCTTCGGTCTCCCCAGGGAAAGAGGGCATAATTCCATTCCAGAGATGGGAATTTCCGTGTGTGGGTGGCATACGTATGTGTAACTCTGCCTGATTTGGATACTCTTAACCGTGGTGATGGGTTCCTGCATGTGTCCAGACGCGGCTGACCTCCAAAATAATTCTTATTGCACTGCTGTATTATTTGCATTCAGTAATATTATGCTGCTCGTTGCATCTGAGCAGCTGTGTGTTCCACCACTTGCACTGTGTGTGTTTATCTTGAAAAGCTGACGAACGTTTGTGGCTGTGACCATGTATTCGTTGAAGTATGGCTTCTGGAAGCTCATGGATATCCCTGATATTTACCTCTTCTCCTCAGTTGATATTTAGCAACGAGTACACCCAAGCTGAGAACCAGAACTGGCATCTGAAGCACTTCTGCTGTTTTGAATGCGACTGCGTCCTCGCTGGGGAGATTTATGTGATGGTGAACGAGAAACCGGTCTGCAAACCATGCTATGTGAAGCTTCACGCTGCGGTAATGTATCCGGCGAGAACATCTCCTGTCCCCGACTGGGAGGTTACAAAGCTGAAAATGCTCATTTGGATTTGGCAGTTTGATCCCACCCTTGGGCTTTTAGTTATTCTTTGAGAAGGAATATCATCCTATTCTTTACTAAAAACGCAGCTGCCGTAACTATTTATGTCAATGGATTCATTGACTGTCCCCAGTGTATTAGAAATGTAGAACTTAATGTACTTATGTTTATATATAGTCAAAGAAGGGGTGTTGAAGCTAATCCAAACTTCTTGTAACCAAACGGCCAGCTAGCCATGTGGCAATGCTTTCCTCGTATTTTACCTAAATGAGGAGATTAGGCTGGGGGGCGTGCCGGCTGTTCACTGTTCATGTGGAGCCACAAAACTGCCTCACTCTCTTGAGTTATTATTCCCCAGGCAATTTATTCATAATAATAATCCTTGCATTGTTCCATTTCATAGCAGGAGAACATCTCAAAGCTCTTTACATGATTTACTGTAAAGTGTACTGTCTGTATTTCGTAGGCAAATGCGGCAGCCAAATCGGGTACAGCAATGTCCCAATAATAGCCTTTGAATGAATGGCCAATTTTATCTGAGGGATTTTTGGCCAGAAACAGTGTTGGCCATTGTTCAATAAGACAAGGGAGAAAACATGAGATCTTATTATCCACTTGAACAGACGGGACTTCGGTTTTGAGGTGTCTCAGCAATGTGATAAGGCGCTACACCAAACACAGGATTATTGTTGTTGTAGATTTAGCTCTGCTTAAAGCCAAATCTGTTGGTGCTTCTGATGTGCATTTTCGAGAGAGACAAAATGAAAGTTTGTATACTGAAAGCTGCTCAATCTCTTGTCTGCAGGTGTGCCAGGGTTGTCACAACACCATTGATCCAGAGGCACAGCGGGTTTCGTATGGCACTTATAATTGGCACGCCTCCTCCGAGTGTTTCCTCTGCTCCTGCTGCAGTAAGTGCCTGGTCGGTCAGAAGTTCATGCCAGTGGAAGGGATGGTTTTCTGCTCGGTGGACTGCAAGAAGAAGCTGACATCTTAAACAATCCCAGCGACCCGCAGTGTAAAAGATTGCTTTTCTTCCAGTGTCCATCCGGAGCCGGGCATCGCATTGATGTGAAATGAAAAGGAAATGTTCTTTTGATGCAAAGATGAGGAGATGCGAAAATGAACAAGGTTTTTGCTTTGGGAATGTTGCATAATAATAAACAAATGCATCACGTACACCTTATTACAGTACAAAATCCTGTGCTATTGGCGTTCACATTCTGTACTTAAACCGTGTTGCTGTGCTCTGAAAAGAAATGTTTGAAATGGGAATTACTGAAATGCCAGCCCTTAATGATGTATCCTTTTCGTACTCCGAAACACCCTCAACTTTCAGAAGTGTACTTCACAGTGCTTAAAAATAAAATTTCTTTTAATCTCCATTGTTCCCAAAGTAATACCGAGTAATTTGAATGTGTGTGTTTCTGTTAGGCATCGCGGGAGTTCAGACACAGAATACAATCGGGCCTTATTGCAATGCACTCCATCATAGTGTGCATCTGTAGATGTATAATACAGTAAAGATTTACAGTTATATAGTGCTTTTTAGGTCAAGAGATCATCCCAAGTGCTGAATAGTCTTGACTTGGCATCTGAGCTTGGAGCGGGAGACAAGGGGAGCGGGGAAGTGAAAGATGACCAAAAGTGTGGTCAAAGAGCTATGTCTTGAAATGGACGTTGAACCAGGAGAGGGAGCGAACTGGAGGGACACAGGGATGGAGTTCCAGAGAGTGGCAGCAAAGAGGCTGAAAGACTAGCTAGTTACGCTGTGGATACTGTACTTTGACCGCCAACTGGCTGTCTTACAAAGTCTGTAGGCGTAGAGGGCCTCCAGGGTCTGGTCGCATCTCACAACAGCCACAAGCGCTTGTGAAAGTGGTTGCCAGCTTCCAAGCAGCCATCTGACTGGAAAGCGCTGAGTGGTGGCCATTTTTACAGCGTGCGTCATTATATTGCAGGGTTTACATTTACTGGCCCAAACCACTGTGTTACAACAATGTCTAACCAGACCTGTGTAACATTCTGGTATCTGACCATCGGGCTAATGAAGAGCACGGTGCAATTGAAAAGAGTGGCCTTATTTTAGCTGCTTGCTGCTTTCCGCACCCTATACTGCATTTGGACACCTGCCATCTGGAAATCCCAAAACCTGTTATTTTATTATAATAACCTGTTATTTGGAATGTTCCCCCTTTGCTAATATAGTTTATTCTTGATCTCTTTTCCCTTCTCTCCAGTCATAAGGCTGTCAACCAGAACTCTGCCGCCCGCATTCTCACCTGCACCAAACTCCGCTCCCCGATTACCCCAGTCCTTGCCAGACTGCACTGGTGGCCTGTCCCAGAGAGGATCGACTTCAAAATCCTCAATCTTGTCTTCAAATCCCTCCATTCCTCTACCCCCCTACCTCGCTGACCTCTCTCCTCACAACAGCGCCCATTGCCTTCGCTCCACCAGGTCTGGCCTCCTCCTTGTCCCCCAAATCCTCCATTGCATCATCAGCAGCCTTGTCTTCAGCCACTATGCCTCGAGGCTCTGGAACTCCCTCACTCCCTTCGCTTCGCCCTCTTGCTTTCTATTTTTAGGTCTCAGTTGAAGACCTTTCTTTTTGACCGTGCCTTTGGTCACCTTCTTCCCCCTCCCCCTGGCTTGGACCCGGGATTCGTTGCTGTGAAGCGCTCTGAGACGCCGTCCGCCATGGAGGGCGCTATATAAATCCAATTTGTTGTTGTTGATGGGTGACGGTGACACTTTTTTCCTTACTTTCCTATACAGCAACAAATTTTGTTGCATACTATCCCGCTTCGGCACCCCCACCAATCCTTATATTTTTGCTTGATTGAGATCTTGCCCTTCGTAGTGCACTTTTCCCATGACTGAAAGAATGAAGAGAGATCGAGAGAGACACTCTTTAACTCCTCTCTTCAGCCTGTCGTAGGGAGATGGTCCAAGGTGATTTACTGAGTTAATCTGTTTAGGTGTAGGAGAGGACTGAGTGAATGACAATGGGAGGGAAGATTAGTGACTATTGGATAGGAGGTGGAATGGGGGAGTTATACCTGGAGTAGATTACAGCTTCTGGGATTTTTTTTAAGACCTAGAAAAATGATTTGAAAATTAAGACTGAGTTCAAGAATGTGCCAAATTCGGGATGCTCTGAAATGCTACATATATGGAGTAAATCTATAGCCAGGTAAATTTCTCCCCTTAGAAGTTTCCCCTTAAATTTCTCATTCGAGAGGCCAGCCATCTAGGGGTGAGATTTGTGGACGATGTTGTTTGTAAGCTGTCCTGAGATGGTGATGGTGAAGCTTCTCTTTAAACCATTGTGATAATCTTTACATTTGGAATTGCGCATTTCACTTCGGGATAACATCCCAAAGTGCTTCACAGGATGCTTTGCTTCAAGGGATTTTTACTGCAAAGTGGAGTGACTGTTTGGAGTGGAGGGACTCGGACATCCTCCCGATGTGAAAGGAGTAATATGAATGCGATTTGTAGTTCCTTATTTTGTGGGCGAACGCAGCAGCTAATTTGCCCACAGGAATTTCCTATAAACAGGCACGAGGAGAATGGCCAATTAGTTGAGGGATTATTGGCCAGGACACAGGGAGAAACTTCTTTCTCTTATCGAATGATGCCATGGGATCTTTAACATCCACCTGAACAGCCAGGCGAGGCCTTGGTTTGATGTCTCACCTGAAGGACACCATCTCCAGGCCACCATACATCCCGAGGCATCTTCGGATGCATAAACGCCATTGCCATTGTGTCACACACACAGACACACACATATATATATATCAATTATTTTTGGGTGGGGAGGAGAATAGCCAGCAGTTTTTCTGTTTTTGTTGAGGCAGTTCCCCTTTAAATGGTATCAGTCATATATAGAAGGAATGCAAATGTGTATTAATTTCTCAACTGTCCCTGCGTTAAAATGCCAGAACTAAACAGTTCCAGTGAGTCACCCAAAGATAAATACAAGTGAGTTTAGACAGGAAAGTAATAACTGTCTCTTACAGTATAATAAATAACTGTTGAAGGAAAATACCACAGAATAAAAAATTAGACATCTTTTCCCCTAGCAAGCCTTTGGTAAGTTCTTCTTTATAAATTCCCTTTCCTTGTGGAAAGGCTACAAACCCAGGTTGAAACATCAAGAAGCTGAATACAGCCCCGTAGAAGATATTAAAGTCAACACTGTGGGTAGAAATTCAACATGGATCCAGATTTACTCTTATTTATGCAGCATTTCAGAGTGGAATTTGGCAAACTGTTAAATTAGTCTTAACCTGAAAGTCAGCTTTCTGCTGGTTCTTATAAGAAACTTGCCTAAAACCCATTTCAAAATGTAAGGCTGTAATTAAGAATTTGCCAAATTCTGGACATTGTAAAATATTACTGAGATGGAGTAAATGTAGACCCAGATGGAATTTCTCCCCTTTGAATACCTTCACTCCCATGGATCCTGCAGCATTATCACCAGAGATAATAGTTAGACAGGAATTATTTTGATCCCCTGCCAACGAATGTTCCATCAGCACTTTCGTGAACTAATGCAGTTACTTCTCCTTCAACTGACTGAAAGTCCAACTTATTGTTTACCCTCAAGGGCAGAGTTGGCAACCAGTTTGATTCAACTGCCCTCCCCCCCCCCCTCCCCCACCCCGACCCTCAGCTCGGGTCCGTAACTCTGTCAGTCCAGCGCCTTGTAGAATCACTGTCCGGGGCTTCAGGTTAGGTTGCTTGCAGAAAACTTGCGATCATTCCTTGCTGCGCACATAAAATATTTTGGCAGCTCCCTAGAAACGTTTATAAATGTGGTAAAACTCCATGGCTGGAATGCAGAGCTGCCTTCTAGGGCTGTAAAAGAAATGAATCCCAGTACACGACACTGTAGGATGTGTCTGACCTTCAAAGGGAAGATGGACCAGGTAACAATAGAACTTTTGGATTGTAACGAAGTACTGGACAGCTCATCAAGCTGCGCTGGTGTAAGCAATTTGCTTTGAAACTAGGTTTAAAGGGAAATGATCAATCTGCTATTCAGGTACATTTGGCAAGGAGCGAACATGTGCAACAGCCTTCTGGCTTTAGAAGGATCTTTTAGCCCTGAGCAATTTCAGTGGTCACCTTAAGCAATAAGAATCCTTGCATTTAATACAGTGGCATTCACGTTGGCAGGACATCTCAGAGGACTTCACAGAATTTACTACGGTAAAGTGTAGTGACTACTGAATTTTTTTTCAACAGCCATATTTGTTCCACACAGCAATGTCCCACAAACAACCATGAAGTGAATGATCAATTCACCGATGACTGAGCACCCACAGTGATGTACAGCACTACATTTATTGCTTTATTATACATTGTTTTAAGTTGAGAGGTTTACTGTGGCTAAAGCATTTTTTTCATAACAAAAACTGCTGTAAAAATTTTCTTCATTTCAATAATTACTGACACAAACTTACAGCCGTTTGAATTATTGATAAACTTTCATTCCCATGTTGTCCATTCCTCTATTGAACACCTTCACTACATCTGAGTAGCTGTGCATATTATGCATACAATGCATAAACCATGTTAACACACCTTTTCTGCATTAGATGTGTGTGAAGTACACATTTGCTCCGCGTACGTCAATCTGCCTCAGTTGGTAGCTCTCTCACCACTGAATCAGAAGGATGTGGGTTCAAGCTCCACACCAGGACTTGGAACTCATAATCTAGGCTTACAGTCCTGTGCAGTGCTGGGGGCATGCTGCATTGTGAGAGATTCTATCCTTTAGATGGAATTATAAGCAGAAGTCCCATCAGCCTGTTAAACATCCACTATTTGAAAACAGAAGGGAGTTTCCCCCGCTGTCCTGGCCAACAATTCCCGGATAAAATTGTTGATTTGCTGTTCACCTACACAAAAATTACACATTTTATAGTAAATTGTGTAAAAAGCTTTGAGACATCCTCCTGACATGAAAGGCATTATACAAAATGTCCCACAAATAATCATGAATGCAAGGATTATAATGAATATGATCCTGTAGCTGCAATACAACAGCCTGGATTTCCACCTCGGTAATCCCCAGCTCCAGCCCCCATCTCAAATGACATTGCCACTTGTGTTTCCTTCAGGCTCCGTTTGCTGATCTTGGCTGGATGGTTTAGGGAGGGAGCGTACAAAGGATTCCCCTCCCTCACTTCCCACACTTGCCACCTGGCAGACCAACAAAGGAGAAGCTATGTCCATGGAACCTCTGGGAAGGAACAAAAATAAGTGAACTTGGAAAATACAAGGGATCAAGACTCCAAAGTTTTGGAAGTGAAACCAAATAAAAAGGGAATAAAAAGCTGTGAGTTTCCATCAGTCAAACACATGAGTA